CTGACTGAGCCATTTAGGCTCCCCCAAACTTTAAAAAAGATGAGGGCACCTGGGTGGCTCAGCTGGCTCAGCATCCAACTTCAGCTCAGGTCATGATCTCTCAGCTTGTGGGATCGAGTCCCAGGTTGTGCTCTGTGCTGACAGCTCAGAGCCTGGAGCCTGCTTTGGATTCTGTGTCTCCCTCCCTCTCTGCCCTTCTCCCGTTCACTCTTCTGTCCCCTCTCCGTCTCTTTCTCCTTCAAAAATAAATATAAACATTAAAAAAAAAACTTTAAAAAAGATAGTTTCCTGTTTAGACAAAAAAAAATGTATTGTGGGTTTTATAACATATATAAAAACATATATAAAAGCGATATACATGACAACAATAACAAAGACTGTGGGGTGACAACATAAAGTTCTTTTACTGTCATAAGTGAATAAATGATATGATATAATACTATCATAAGTGAATGAATTGATATAATATCAACTGAATGTAGAATCTGATAATCTGAAGATGTGTACTGTAAACTCTAGAGCAACCACAAAAATAATAAAACAAAGTTATAGCCAGAAGCCAACAAAAAAGGTAAGATGGAATCAGAAAAAGTTACTCATTTTTTAAAAGGGAGAATAAGAGCTGCACCTGGGGGGCTCAGTTGGTTGACTGACTTCTGCTCAGGTCATGAGCCCATGCTTTGTGGGTTATAGCACCACATCAGGCTTTGTGCTGACAATGCAGTTTCCCTTTCTCTCTGCCCCAACCCTCCCAAAAGAAACAAACAAAAAAGAATCCTTAGTTGATTCTTTTTTTTAAAAAAGGTAGATTAAGAAGAAAAAAGGAACAAAGAATAGATGAGATAAATCGAAAACATATTTAAGATGATAAGACTCAAACCTAAACGTTAATCATACAAAAATATGGTCTAAGCACTACAATTAAAAGGCAGAGATTATCCTAATAAATTAAAAAAGGCAAGACCCAATTATGCACTGCCTACAAGAAATAGTTTGTTTTTTAAATGTTTGTTTTGAGAGAGATAGTGGGGGAGGGGCAGAGAGAGGGCAAGAGACAGAGAATTCCAAGCAGGCTCCGCACTGTCAGCACAGAGCCCAATGCAGGGCTGGAACTCACGAACCATGAGATCCTAACCCAGCTGAAATCAAGAGTCAGACACTTAACCATCTCAGCTACCCAGGCACCCCAAGAAATATGTTAAAAATATAAATACACAAATAGTTTAAAGGTAAAAGGATAGAAAAGACATCCTCTGTCACACTAGTCAAAAGAAAGCCGGAGCAGTTAAATTAATAACAAAGTAGATTTCAGAGCAAAGAATATTATTGAAATAAAGTAATTTCATAAATGATAAAGGAGTCAATTATTCAAAATACATAATCCTGAACATATATGCAACTAATAACAGAGCTTCAGTATGTGAACCAAAAGCTGATAGAACTTATGGAAGAAATAGACAACTCCACAAATATAGGTGAAGATTTTGATAACTCACTCTCAATAATTGATAGAAAAAGTAGAAAACCAGTGAGGATACAGGAGACTTGAACAACTCTTGTAACCAACTTGAACTGATTGATATTTATCGAATGCTTCACCTTTCTTCACATTCCACCTTGCTTTCTTCAAACAAAGTAAAATACATATTCAAGTGCACATGAAACATTTATCAAGATAGACCATGGTCTAGGTCATAGAACAAGTCTTGGTAAATTTAAAAGGATTCAAGTCATACAAAGTATATTCTTAGACAACACTGACATTAAAGTAGAAACTAGTAAAGAAAGATCTTTGGAAAACCCCCAAATATTTAAAAATGAATATACTTTTAAATAGCCTATAGATCAAAGAAATCAAAAGGGAATTTGAAAGTATTTTGAACTCAATTAAAATGAAAACGCAACACACCAGAAGTTGTGGGATATTGTTAAAGCAATATTTGGGGGAAACTAACAGCACTAAATGCCTGTATGAAAAAAAAAATCTCTCAAATGAGTGACATCAGCTTCTACCTTAAGAAACAAGGAAAAGCAAACTACACCTAATCAAAAGAAAACAATAAAGATAAAAGCAGAAGTCAATGGAACAGAACATAGAAAAACAACAAAATTATCAACTAGTGTTTGCTATTGCCAGGCATAGTATAGGAACTGAGCTTACAAATATGGTTCCGTTCTTGAGGATCCAACTGTTGGGTTAGACGGACATCAGTTTGAAAAATAGTCACATCAGAATGCTAATTATCATGATGGAATGCTCAAGGTGCTAATGCTTATGAGAAGGGGAAGTGAAGACAGTGGTTAAGAGTTCAGGTTCTAGGGGTGTCTGGGTGGCTCAGTCAGTTGGGCATAAGACTCTTGATAGTCACTCATGTCATGATCTCGCAGTTGTAGAATTGAGCACTGAGCTGGAAGCCTACTTGGGGCTCTCTTGCCCCCCCACCCCTCCTTCATGTGTGCTCATCCTCTCTCAAAATAAACTTAAGAGCTCAGGTTCTAGAGACAAAGACCTTCAAGTTTCACTCTGTGTGGCCTTGGGCAAATGATATAACCTTGATCTTGATCGTCTTCTTTTTCTATAACATGGATTTAATAAGATTCCCTGCATTGCATAGGGGTCTTGTAAGGATGAAAAAATGCCTAGTGCATGGCAAATCCTACTCAAATGTCAGGTACTATCATTAAGATGTGGGTCCCATCCATTAGAGGGAAAGACATACACAAAGATAGAAGAAATGGGGGTAAGGGAGAGGCATGGTTGAGGAAGGACTTTCACTCCCCAAGAAACTACTCATTTCCACTTTATTTTCCAGTGTTGAGTAAAACCAGGCACATGGTATATAATTACAACTGAAACTGAGGTTTTAGGGTGTAGTGGTTACATTAGCTTAATACCAAAAAGTGGTTTAAACCAGGTGAAAATAGTATTTTTTGAGGCATGATATAATATAGGTTGAGAATAGGTTCTGCAGTCAGTTGCCTTGCTCAGATGCATGCTCTGACACTTACTGGCTGTATAACGTGGGCAAATTCCACATATCCTCCAACTTCAGTTGTCCTTATCTGCTAAATGGGCACAGAGTACCTTCTTTATAGAGGCGTGTGGAGTATTAAATTACGTATGCACATCATTACACTGTCTTGTTTAAAGCTAGTAACATAATAGCTTATCATATTATGGTTTAGGAGTTAGGTTCGAATCCTGGTTCTGCTCCTTACTACTTCGATGATCTCGAGCAAGTTTCTAATCTCTTAATCTCTCCTGGAAAGATAGGGTTGGTTCTGAGGTAAACCTGGTTGAATAGTGATGGTAGACTTTATTCATTCAACCAGATTTATTGGATACGATATCCCAGGTTGTTTGCTGTAATACTTAACAAGCTCATTGTACTTTTATGAGACTGTAAGCTTTTTACAAATATTAACTCATTTAAATCTCACTAAAACCCCAAGAGGTAGGTACTTTTATCATCTATGGATGAGAATATTGAAGCAGAGAGGTTAAATTGTTTGCCCAAGGTCGCGTGAGCAGCAATTGGTGGTATTAGGATTCAAACCCAGACTGTCTCAGGACTCCCGTTTGCTAGGAATGCCTACTTGCAGAAGAAGCCCGCAGGCAGGTAGAAGTTTGGCAGAAAGGGTGGGGCCTAGAAAACTTGCCAACAGCTTTGCTTCAGCTACACTTTGGACATAAAGAGAAAAAAATGCACGTATTTCCTGCCCAGCAGGTTACCCGGCCCTAGGCTGAGAATTTGTACTAAAAACTGTAAATCCCCAGGTTAGCTGTAGGAGAAAAAGAACACTTCATTTTACTGAGCACCTCCTGCACAGACTGCAGATGTGACAATGATAGCAAAGAGGAGACTTTTGGCTATGCAGGCTCTCTCCCAGTCAAGTGTGCAAGAGGGGGATAGTTGCAGAGGCTACTTCCTACTTGTGGGCTTAAGCAATCACCCTGTTAGACTAATACCTCAGAATTGTGATGAATACATGCCAAAATGCTTAGAACAGTGCCTGGCAGAGGTAAGCATTGCAAGAACCCTTGTTCAAGATGACCTTTTAAGTTGGTACTCCTTAAAAATAAACCCATCAAGAGGCATCTGGGTGGCTCAGTGTCCGACTTCAGCTCAGGTTATGATCTGTTTGAGCCGGAGTCAAGGCTCTGTGCTGACAGCTCAGAGCCTGGAGCCTGCTTTGCATTCTGTATCTCCCTCTGCCCCTCTCCTGCACTCTCAAAAATAAGCATTAAAAAATTTAGTAAGCCCAGCAAGCTCTCCCAGATTCTCCACAATCATGGTTTAACTACCTCCAATTCTATCATCTGGGGCTCAAAGGAGTGAAGCAGTCTGCCTGGACATTCCAAAAATTTGGGCTAGGACTCAATCATCTCTAATCTCCTCACCTCAATCACCTTGATGGCTTCTAAATGGGCAGGAGGCTGTTACAGTCTCCCTCCCCACTGTATGTTCATTTAGTCCCACCCAGGAACTAGACTCTACCTTCTAGATGGTTCCCACCCTTCAGGGCCTGGACTAGTTTCCAACGCTGGCAGTCAGTGCCTGTGCTTGACAAGATTTCCATTGTGACTCAGCCTCACATCATAAGCAGGATGACAATTCTCTCAGGCTGAAGTACACTACTTGGAACAATGGCAGTAGAGGCTAAGTAGCTAACAGTGGTGGGATTTTGCCGTTTATGTCCAATCAGGTATTTGCTAAGGTTAACTTGCCTGTACTACACTATGGGGAAACTGAAGATTAGGCTTGGTCTATCAGTAACCCAGATCTCCCGTCTAGTGGCCAAGTGTAGGTTGGTCTCTCACCTAATTCCTTAGGTGTCCTAAGCATTACCCACCTTTGAATGCAACCAGGAAGCTCTTCCCTGCACACTAGGGAACTGGTAGGAACCAACACATTTTCCCAAGTAAACAAGTGCCAGCATATACAAGACAAGCTCAGGGCCTTGTCAAGTCATGTTTCCACATAAAAAGGAGCCACACAAATATGCAGTCATCTTTATTGTAATCCATAAGTACATCAGAAACACATGGATCAGGGTGCCGGGTGGCTCAGTCAGACTCTTGATTTCTGCTCAGGTCATGATCTCAGTTGAGGCTCCATGCTGATAGGGTAGAGCCTGTTTGGGATTCTCTCCCCCTCTGCCCCTCCCACATACTTGCTCTCTCTTAAATTAAGCTTAAAAACCTACTGTTCCCCCTTGAGTTTCTCTTAAGGGCAGTTTTAAAAAGGGGTCAAATGTGCTCAAGCTTCTAAACCTCCAGGCTTAGCTTACAAAAACATTTATCATCCACTTCACCAACTGTCCCTGCCAAGTAAAGTACCCCAAAGCATAAAGTGTTGACTGCCAATGTAAGGTGAGGCTCCTCTTCAATCCTAAATGAAAGCAAACAAAAAAGACGATCAGACTCCTATTGAAGACCTCACTAAAAACTTTCCTTTTAGTTTTCATTAGATGTTTCCTGCATGGTTTGTCTCCTCAGTCATCGTCCACAGGACTCTGAGAAGCTGTAGGAATATGCAGGCGCAGACTCAAGGCCCGGCTTCATCTCCAACGTCGTGGAAAGGGACTGTACGTCACGGGGCAGAGCCCTATGCTCCCCTACGCCACCTGGACAGAGCCCGGGGAGAGTGACCTCCCGAGAGTATCCACGTTGGAATGACCAATTAAACAGCACCACCCTCAAAGTATTTAAGAGATTTCGTTTTCCTCCATCCCTTATTACACAAGTGAATTTGAGGTAAGCCTGTTTAAAAACCAGTCATTACTACTACCTTTTCCAAGGTTTATCTTACTCACTGACCTAGGAATATTCAGGTGCATATGCCCCCCTTCATCTCCATTGTCATGGAAAGGGTCCGTACCAGAGAATAAATCCTTGGCTCCCATGGACAGACTTTGGTTAAGCCACCCAAACGCAGTTTTTCCATTAGCAAAGCAGAAGTTTCTACCCCATCACACAACTAAAGAGATGAAAATAATTTTTACTGGCTATAAAAGGCTATCTTCCCAGACATGAGCATAAATCTATGAAACTGCTGACATGCCAGCAAAAACGTCAAAGTTACTATCTGGATGTATTAAATGGCAAGAGCACATTCATGAAAAGGAACCCGGCTGGAATGATTAAATGTCGACAGGCAAACACTGGCAAGTCAGAAACAATTCTTACCCCAAATCCTTTGGTTTACTTACCCCAAATCAAATTATCTGGAATCCTGAGCAACTGCTGCAAAACAAGGTAGGTAAGAGCTTAATCCAGTAGAACAGCAGCTGATTAAGAGCAGAATTTTCTTTCATTTCCAACCAATCTAGCTCCAGATAGGGGGTGCTCTAAGAGCTGTTTCCTGCATGGTTTGTCTCCTCAGTCATCGTCCACAGGACTCTGAGAAGCTGTAGGAATATGCAGGCGCAGACTCAAGGCCCGGCTTCATCTCCAACGTCGTGGAAAGGGACTGTACGTCACGGGGCAGAGCCCTATGCTCCCCTACGCCACCTGGACAGAGCCCGGGGAGAGTGACCTCCCGAGAGTATCCACGTTGGTCACTGTAATTTACTTAACTTGCAGACTACTGAGCTAGAAACAAGTTTCAACCAGCTGACGACTTCCCCAATTCCCCAGGTGAAACCTGAATTCCAAACTGGCAACGAAATTCGAGTTATCAGCAGTCTCATGCTTGTAATCTAAATGAACTGCCAACCAGATACCCCAAACCTATCTATAAATCCCAACAGGCGATTAGCACTACTGCCAGAAAAATGCAGAGCCGAGACCACAGTTATGCCTCGTTATGTATAAACCGATCTACAGTCGTGAAACCACCCTACATCACAAATCAACTAGCAGCAGGATTAAGATCCGTCCGTTTCGAAATCAATTCTGGAACTCCGATGGGGGTCAGAAATAAAATGTCTTCCTTGCAACTCCACCGCCTCCTAGGAGGCAAGTTAATAAACCGGCGATGGTCAATAGCGAGAGGGCGGGCCGCGCATTTAGCGTCCCGACGCGGGAGGTAACAGCCCTGGAGGTTTCGGCGCTCGCGCTCCTCCGCTATGGGTAAAACCCGCGCGCGGCTCGCAAGGCCTCCGCGGCCTACATCCGGCCCAGCCCCGCTGCACAAATAAGTGTAGTTAGCACAGACACCGCTGAGAAGAATCCTTCTAAATAGTACGATGTCCACAGGAAAAGCTGGTTGGCTGGCCTGAGAGACTAGACGTAGACCTAACCAATCGAGGGGGTAAAAACACTCACCAACTCCAACACAGCGCCGCTTGCTTTCTCGAAAGGACCGAGCAACCCCCAAGGCATCCTTATTTATACCTTCTGAAGCGCGCGTAAGTCAAGGTATCTCTATTGCGCCTGCGCCGTACCATGCGCAGTGAGGGAATCGGAAATTCGCTAAGGGTGCTGGGAATCCATTGCAACTGAAGCCTCCCCTCGCCCCCCACCTGGCTCGGCGGTTTCTCGCGATAATAGGCCCTTCGCGCTCGGGAGCTTGCTGGGGAATGTAAATTACAGAAACTGAGTTTAGAAGTATGTATCCCGGTAAGTATGTGCTGAGTAGTAAATTTAATTGTCTGCAGTCAACTAACGTAGTCTGGAGAATGTACAGTTAAAGAAACTCGCCAACAAAAACACCCCACTTTGCCGTAATTGTATGCGAAATTGAAAAAGCCGTGTAGAGAAATGCAGAATCTCAAAAGTGATTGAATCTCCCCTGTCGCATCTGAAATAAACATTTGATAAATGCGCAGGTAAATAAGACAAATGCTTCTACAGGAATTGGCTAAAGTTAAAAGCCTCCTATACACAACAATGGATGTATTTAATACTGCTGAACTGTACACCTAAAAATCATTAAAAAGGTAATTTTTACATTAAGTATATTTTAACACACGCTCACCTAATATAAAGAAGTAGGCAAGTAAAGAATCCTGAAGATACATATTACATATGAAATATTGCAAATGTGATAGAATTTTTTTTTTCAAGAGAGAGAGTGCAAGAGTGGGGTTGTGTAGCAGAGGGAGAGGGAGACAAAATCCTAAGTAGGTTCCACACAGTAGGAGCCGACTGGGGCTCCACCCCATGACGCTGGGATCAAGACCTGAGCTGAAACCAAGGGTCAGTCTCTGAACCCACGGAGCCACCCGGGCACCCCTGTGATAGAATTTTGAATGTGATATTAAGCAAATAGATATTAGGTAAATTAAGATGGAGCCATCACAGCCGGGCTACAATGAGTGGAAACATTTATAGTGTTCTTCCTTTAAGATTTTGTTCTGAATACCTTACGTGCATTACTTACTATCACAGCAATTCTAGGACATTGGTATTATTACCTAGATTTTAAGATGTGAAACATGCCCAGGGAGATGGTTCTCAAAGCAAAGTTGTCACACCCAGGGGTCCCTGAGACTCTTCTGGGGGGTGGGGGGTCCATGAGGTCAAAACTATCTCATAGTAATACTTAGGCTTTCTTTGCCTTTTTCACTGTGTTGACTCTGTACCATAAAGTGAAATGGATAAAACTGCTGGTCCGTTATTATGTTTTCAGGCCCTGTCACCAAACTGTAGCGGTATTGTATTCTTTATCATCACAAATTTACAGTTTAAAAAAAAGTCAGTTTCGGGGCACCTGGTGACTCAGTCGGTTGAGCGCCTGACTTCGACTCAGGTCATGATCTCACGGTTCGTGAGTTCGAGCCTCCATCAGGCTCTGTGCTGACAGCTCAGAGTCTGGAGCCTGCTTCAGATTCTGTGTCTCCCTCTCTCTCTGCCCCTCCCCCGCTCACACTCTGTCTCTCTCACACACACACACATAAATAAACATTAAAAAAAAATTTTTTTTTAAGTCAGTTTCTGATTCTTAGAAAATAGAGAGGTGGTTGCCAGGGACTTGGGGTATGTGGAAAGGGGGAGGTGTTATTTAACAGGTACAGAATTTCAATTTGGCAAGATGAAAAAGTACTGCAAATCTGTTATACATCAGTGTGCATATAGTGACTACTGAACTGTATACTTAAAAGTGGTTTCAAAAAGGCCCACTTTATGTTTTTTTTTAAGTTTACTTATTTATTTTTTTACTAATCTGTATCCCCAACATGGGGCTTGAACTCACAACCCCAAGATCAAGAATCGTGAGCTCTACTGCCTGAGCCAGACAGCGCCACCCCTGTCACCCCCATCACCCCACCCCACCCCCACAAAGGCACATTTTATGTTCTGTGTTTTTCTACCACAATAATAAATCATATCTATAGCAAATTAAAAATAGCTTCCTCTAAGAATGCTGTTGATGAAGAAATAAAAGTCATTAATTTCATTAATTCTCAACCTTTGACTATGCATCTTTTTAATACTAAAAAAATTTTTTTTTAACATTTTATTTATTTTTGAGACAGGGAGAGACAGAGCATGAACAGGGGAGGGTCAGAGAGAGGGAGACACAGAATCTGAAACAGGCTCCAGACTCTGAGCTGTCAGCACAGATCCTGACGCGGGGCTCGAACTCACGGACCGCGAGATCATGACCTGAGCTGAAGTCAGCCGCTTAACCGACTGAGCCACCCAGGCGCCCCAAAATTTTTTTTAATGTTTGTTTGTTTTTGAGACAGAGCATGAGTGGGGGGAGGGGCAGTGAGAGAGACACACACACAGAATCCAGAGCAGGCTCCAGGCTCTGAGCTGTCAGCACAGAGCCCGACGTGGTGTTCAAACCCATGAACTGTGAAATCATGACCTGAGCCGAAGTCAGACATTTAACCAACTGAGCCACCCAAGTGGCCCTCTTTTTAATATTTTGTGTGATAAAGTGAGAAGTACACATAAAGTACTTTTGTGGTCTGCAAAAGTAGAGCATTTGTCTCCAGGAAAAGCACTTCTATGATTGTTTTGAAATAGCCACATCTTTTTCCTGAAATACCATTTTACTTGAAAGAATGGCTGACATCTTTACCAACTATATATCTGTGTGGGATTGGATTTTCTTCATTTACTTCAGCCAAAACAATATATAGCAACAGATTGAATACACGAGGAGATATGAGAATTGAGCTGTCTTCTATTAAATCAGACATTAAAAAGATTTGTAAAAAAATGTAGAACAGTGCCACTCTTCTCCCTGATTATTTCTGGAAAAGTTATTTTTCATAAAAATCCATTATTAATGTTAACATGTAATGGGTTATTATTTTGAAATGTATTTCATTATATTATAGTTAATTATATAAATTATATATTTAAAAATTTTCCCAGTTTTAATTGTAGTACAGTAAGTATCAATAGAAGTCACACACAGATACAAAAGTTCTTGGGGGTTCTGAATAATTTTTAAAAATTTCCAAAACCAAAATGTTTGAGAACCAGTTTACATTTTTTTTTTAACGTTTATTCATTTTTTTGAAGACAGAGACAGAGCATGAGTGGGGGAGGGGCAGAGAGAGAGGGAGACACAGAATCGGAAGCAGGCTCCAGGCTCTGAGTTATCAGCAAAGAACCCTATGCGGGGTTTGAACCCATGAACCATGAGATCATGACCTGAGCTGAAGTCGGATGTTTAATAGACCAAGCCACCTAGGTGCCCCAAAGAGAACCAGTACTTTAAAAGAAAGAAGACACGTCGGGCTCTGGGCTGACGGCTCAGAGCCTGGAGCCTGCTTCCGATTCTGTGTCTCCCTCTCTCTCTGCCCCTCCCCCATTCATGCTCTGTCTCTCTCTGTCTCAAAAATAAATAAACGTTGAAAAAAAAATTTTTTTTTAAAGAAAGAAGACAAATAATTCTGCTCCTGCTCCTTCCCCGGCCATATTACCAGTATTCAGCTCCTTTCTCAATCCCTCGTTCAACATTTATTTAGTGGATATGATTTATCTGCTAGGCATTGTGCTAGACAATGATGACTCTGATATGAAACTTTTTTTAAAACATTTTATTTTATTTTTTAAAGTATTTATTTTGATAGAGAGAGAGAGAGAGAGCGAGCAAGCACACAGGAGAGGAGCAGAGAGAGAGAATCCCAAGCAGGCTCTGCACTTGTCAGCGGGGAGTGTGACATGGGGCTCGATCCCACAATCCTGGGATCGTGACCTGAGCTGAAACCAAGAGTCGATGCTCCAGTGACTGAGCCACCCAGGTGCCCCAAGATTTTATTTTTAAGTAATCCTTACACCCAAGTGCAGCTCAAACTTAAAACCCCTGAGATCAAGAGTTGCAGGCTCTACCAACTGAGCCAGCCAGGTACTGACTCAACATGAAACACTTCTGTCTGCGAGAGCCCCCAGTAGGAGAAATAGATCACTTGATGAATGCTGTATTCTGAGAACACAGAGGACAGAGCAACTGAACAATCTGCTCAAGGCTAAAGGAACTTTCCTAGGAATTAAAATTTGACCTCAAACATGAAGGGGTGGAGTAAAGAAGTGGAGTATGGATGATGACAGCATTGCAGGCTGAGGAACTAGCAGGACTCCGGTCTCCTGGGAAGGGAAAGAAGTCAGCTTGATGAGGTCCACTGAAGGGAGAAGGTGCCTGCACTTTTCACGAGACCAGCAAGTAGGCAAAGGCTGAATTATAAAATATGTTGCAGTCCAGGCCAGAGAGTTTAAATTTTATCTTGCAGGCAGCTAGAGATCAATAAGTTTTGAAGTAAAGGATTGCTGTGACCAGCTTTGCATTTTAGAAAGGTAACTCTAAGCA